TTCCAACCTTAACGATTCTATGATTCTTTGAGCTATAAAGGCTAAGATTGTGAGAAATGTGCTTCAGAAGTCTTGTTTATAAATATTTATATGTGTGATTGTAGCCTTTCTGACAGCATGGTCTGCAAAATTCAGCGTGTGTAAGAAGATTGAAGGTAAGTTGATAGAATGAAGTGGTACAGGAAGGATGTCAAATACAAAATAAGAGCCAAAAGAAGAATGTGTGAATATGAGATGCTGTGGGATACTTTTTTAAACAAGACCATAATATTCATTATATTACTTGTATTACATATATATATATGTATTACAGTACGTATTGGTATGTTGGACTGATGTTTTCTTGAAAATTTACAGGGGAAATCTTTTTATTGCTTGACTCTGGAGGAAACTCTGTTCTCTTTGGAGAGTGAACGTAGTTATCTGCAAATATTTTGTGGGAACATATGACTCCATGAAAGAATAAATTACTTTCAAAAATATTTTTGAAGAAATGCTTTTAGTTAACTGGCTTGATGTCCAAGATTTCATTTTTTGTGTGCAACAACTTGTAACAAATGCCAGTTGAAAATTTTTGTATTTGAAGAAGCCAATCGTATGATTCTATGATTTTCCACTGACACGCCACGTTGATTTAACCCAGTGAATACGATCCTTGTAAGAAAAGTATTATCTAAAATATATTTCAGCCTTCAGCATGCAGTACTACCATCACTTTGTATACGTTAACATGGATGTTTTATTTGATAATTTTCAGGCTGTCAAGAGGCATAACTTGACTAAAATGTGGTTCATGAAGATCATTGATGAAAGAGTAAGTATTTATCACTCAAGGTCTGATTTTTATTTGTATGTGGTTTTTCTCCCCTTAATTTTATGTGTTTGTTTGTAAAACAAAAGCTTAAGTAATTAATCTTTTCCAGACAGTAGTATTTCTCTTCAAGAATGGTACTGCTATATTTCCTTTTAATTTTCCTTTGATGCCCCTACTTATAATTTCTGCTCTTTCTGGCCAAAACGGCTAATAGAATCCTTTGTTTAGTTTTGCTTTAAAATAGATGTAGTTTGTGGATTGACATCTTTCTTGTTCTCTGCTCTAATAACCAGTGTATCTGTGCTTATGTTTTCTGTTGCTGGTCTCTATTCCTGATTTGAAGTGGTTACCCCTAGAGGTAATCCATTGGGAGTTACACTTGGACACCTTTCTGTATGGAAGTGAAGGAAGTTCCATCCTATGGGATTAAGTAGTAAGGTCTCCATATGCAACTGTTAAGAATTCTGGAAAACTACGTTTTAATAGAAATGGAAAAGATGATATGCAAGAAGGGAAACTCATACATGGTCTCTTTTTGTGCCATTCCAATCCTGCCCCAAGAGAAAGGACATCTTGCATATTGCAAAAAGTTGTACAAACCTACATCATTGGCATCATCTTATTCCTCCTCACCTCTTTTCTTACCATGTCAATTTTGCCCCTAAATACCTTCTCTCGTGATGAGTCATGGATATAAAAATCTCAAAAATTAAATGACCCATCTGAACCTTTCTGCCACACCTAGCTGCTTCTCCTTCTCGTGGCTGTGGATTTTTTTCTAAAGAGTGTTGTAAACTGGAGCATTCAAATCACATGAATTTTAAAATAACCACCCTTTTTCTGGGAAAAACAAGAAGAAGAATTTCACTGGTACAGTGATGCTGCTACCAACTCTGACAGAAGGGCAAGAATGAGTAACTGAGGGCAGGAATTTCTTAAGCTAGCTTTGCTGCTAAAGTTAGTGTCTCATGAAGTTATACGTTGAGAAAATTGATGGTCAGTTACTTGCGGACTGTCATTGCTGTGAAAGACTTCAGAGTTTTTTAATCTTAAGACTGGTAAGTTTTAACCACAAAAGCCACTAGGACAGGAAGAATGCTGGAGGATGTTATATTTTTGGGGGTATTTGCATATAACTTTGGAACTTGTGTGTATTTGATGGATTGATTTTTGTGCACATCTTAAAAAATACATTCCTATTTATATAAATTTCTCTGTGCTTCAGATGCAAATTAAGTATTAAAATTGGCAACCCTCTAGTGTAAGAATACCATATGATATTTTGTTTCGGCTGTATCTTTTTTTATGAAGAATTCTGATTTCTTATTATTCCAAAAGGTTCTATTTGCTCCAGTAACCAGACTTGGCTGCAGTTGCATGTAGCTATTTAGTTATGTTAGACTTGTTACAAGCTTTAATGACTACTTCTATCTGAGTTTATACTCTCTTTCTATGTCTTAATTTTGTCCTTTTTTTTCTAATAGTGGATTAGGCTTACCTGGCTGTAGTAATAAACTTGCACAAATAGCAGTTATATTTACATTTTACTGAAGTTCTGTGTTCATATTACAGGAGAAGAATTTGGATGATAGAGCATACCATAACATCCAGGAACTTGAAACGTATGCTGAGAACACTCAGAGTGCTCTCTTGTACCTCACCTTGGAAATGCTGGGTAGGTGTTTTCCCCTTTTTAGATTTTGTTGGTGACTCATTAGTGCAGGTACAATAGTTATTGATGTTTCAAAAAGCTCACTCTTTTTCCACTGGAGTTTAATTTCAGTAGAAGTTGTCTTAAGTAATACTTCGGACATCTTTTGAATGTGCAACCATAAATCTGGAACCTTACTGCACCTGTCCTAGAACTACGTACTTTCCTTGGAAGCTGCGCAGTGGAAAGCTCATTGAAGTGCGGTTTCCTACTGCTCTGTTCTTTGTTGCTTATATTTTGTGATTGTCCTACCTGTCAGAACACAAAGTGCTGTAGTTATTCTGCAGCTGTTCTATATTGCAGTACACTGGTTATCTTGAAACAGCTGACTTCCCAACCGATAAACTTCCCTTGGTGATACTGTAAATTTGGGTTTGAATCCTCTCCTCTTCCTGAAAGTAGGTTAACTATCAGTAATTGAATAGCTAGAAAAAACGCAACAAAGATATGATCTTTGTGGTTAAGAGCTAGTATCTGTGTCATGTCTAAGAGTCATAGACTGAGAAAGAACTGTTCATTTGCAGTGAAGAAAAGGGTGTCTTTCTTTTAGGTGTCTGTTGCATTATGGACGTATTCCCTGTATAAGCTCAGATGTAAAAGAAGGGTGAGAATAATTATTATTTAGTAGTATTTAGTATTGTAGTAGCAAAGTTTTCCTTTTGCTTATCAGACTAGTCTGATGGAAGGCCAATGCTGAGGTTAAAAGAGTTTAAAAAGTAAAAAGAGAGATATGGTGAGCACATTCTTCTTAGGAAGAAATGAGGAACCTATCTCTTAACATCTGATGTTCGCTTCCTCAGTAGGAAATCAGTGAAATGTTGCAAGTCTTTCTGAACTTCTGATGGAAGAAGTGTAGGAGTATGAGAAATACCAGCGTCTTCCATTCTGAGAAATGTCTTTGATCCTGAAGAAGTTCAGTCATGCTTGGGTCACTTCTGATACAAGTCAGATGATCCTCTTCTTGAAAATCTATTGTGGGGGCTCTGGATTTTCTAGGTGCCCTATTGTCATGTTTAACTTCTCTTAAATATACCAGTGTAACAAAATATCTAAGCAAAAGTCTTCTTCACTGCATATTAAACAGTTAACTTCTGTGTTTTTTTCTCACAAATGGAGAAATTTATTGAACACAGCCCTTTTCTTGGTGTATCCCATCAGCAGTCTTTTCTAGACTAGGGGGACCTGGTTTCATTACAGGTCATGTTTGCTAAATTTCTTGTGCTTTTTAGCTTCTTTATTCCTGACCTGTCCCCAGTTTGTGTGTATCTCTCCCAGTAATAGTGCTGCTTTATTCTTACTGATTTCGGGTTCCTTCTTTTGTCAAGCTCATTTTGACTGGTTATCTCGTTGTCCAAAGTCCTGGTACTTCCTCCCAGCTCCTGTCATTTAAAAATATTAATATTGTGCTCTCTGATTCATTGCCTAAGTAGTTAGAAGTCTGGTCCTACTCAATAATTTTGTTAAACTTTTTCAGAACCTCACTTTTGGGATATATTCCCAGGATGAGCATGAGTCACTGCTAACTCTTACTCTTTGAGGTTTTGGTTTTTTTTTTAAAAAATTCCTAGTTATATGCAAAGCCTGAGCTGCCCAGTCAGTATCAGTAAGTTATGTCCATTGATTCCTCCAAGCCACGCTGCTTTCTGCTGCCATTGCCAAAATAAGTCCATGTAGTCTACCTATAGCCTATAGCAAAGGCTTCTGAGACCCATGCAAAGCTCAGGCAGGCTTGGGCAGTGGATCTGGTATGCTCAGTATTGTTTTCAGGTGTCAGTTAGCCTCATTGGTCTGTAATTCCTGTATCCTCATTTCTTTCTTTGTAGAATGCTGCTTCTGTTAGAGCTTTTGTGAATTTTAATTTCCATTTTCCTTTAAATTTTCATTTTGTCCTGGGTCCGTTCTGCAAAAACATTATGGCTTTATGAACAGTCTAAGCCAATCTTGTATGGTCTTGCCATGAAGAGCGATGGTGCTGCTCTGCCCCACTCATCTCCCTCTTCTTTCAGTTCTCACAGTTGTGTGACCATACAGTAACTAAAGTTAGTTTTCCATTGCTTTGGTGATCTGATTCAGTTTGCCATGCTACTGCCTTATTGCCCATGACAGCATAAGGGAGGTGGCAGAAATATGGGTTCAGGGGGGAAGTGTAGGACCGTTCTTTTTGGCTTCAGTACACTGCTGAATCAGCTGCAGCTAATCATGAAGCCATGCTGTAAGCATTAATGCTTGTCAGGAATCTCATGCTTGAATGGTTTTTCTGGCAGGAAAAACAGTTCTTGGAATACTGTTATCCTGGGAGAGGACATGCCAATGAAAATGAGTTTGTGTACTGATGTATTATATCTGAATAGGTGGCGCTCCGCTAAGTATACCCTTTGCAGAAACTGCAACAAGCCAAGAGGCATCTTGCTCCTGAATGTGGAAATCAGTGAATTTGCCTGCTGCTTTGCACCTCTAAGATGAGATCTCAGGGCAATTTATGAACACAGACAGTTCTATCATGGACCAACGCACTTAACTTTCCTTAAATATGGCTGTGATATGCATCAGAGAAGACTAAACCCCTCGAAAGGCCTGACAGTATGTTCTAAACATATTATTTCTGCAATTTCAGGTGTGAGGGACATCCATGCTGACCATGCAGCCAGTCACATTGGGAAAGCGCAAGGCATAGTTACCTGTTTAAGAGCAACTCCGTATCACAGTACAAGACAAAAGGTCTTTCTTCCCATGGACATTTGTATGTTGGTAAGAGAAGTTGTCTGGAATTGAACAGTATAGTGTTTCATATCTCAGTTAGATATGAGATCATAATTTATTAGGCCAGCAACAGAACACCTTTTTGGTTTTATATCTTTTGGGAGGTGAGAGGAGTGACCTTCATGAAACTCTAGGATTTCTGGTTTTTTATTCTTTCTTTTTTTTTTATTAAATGTAGTAGTATTTTAGCTTTCAGGAATTTTTCCATTAATGTGTAGAAATACACATATGGGATGGGGCCTGGGTTTTGGGGTTTTTGTTCTTGGTTTTTTTCTTTTTTCTTTTCCTATCCCCGTAAAGGAAGCACTGTGAGAAATTTTACTTCTGAACAACATTCTTGGGTTTCTCTTTACTACCTTTTCATAAACATGCTGGTGGTTTTGGGTTTTTTTTTTTTGGTGGCTTTTTTTTTTTTTTTTGGTTACATATTTGATAGCTATAAGCATACATTCCATACATTGCTGTAGGAGATGTTATAGTCCTCTAGTTTAAACTGTACACCTAATTTGCACTGGAATTTAGCAGATCTTGCAATTTGGGTAAAATGGGATTAAAGCTCAAATTTTTTCATTTATGTTCTCTGGCTAGATCTGTAGGTATCGCAGCTGTAACTCCTTCATCCCCAGTCTTTATTTCTAAATGTTAATGCTGTTGTTTTTATACTTAACCAAAATTTATATAATTATGGTGATGCTCAAGGCTGTTGTGTTAGTATTTTCTCAGTATCATTTCAATACAATTGAAAGTTCTGATTTGAAGTTTAGTAATTTAGGTAGTTGCAGAAAATGCAGGTACTAATATAGGTCAAGTTTATAAGACTGCAGAAAGGAGCTGCACCCTGCTTTCAGCCCTTCTGGGACAGGATGGTATGGGAGGCCTTCCAAGTTTTTAGCTTTTCAAACATAGCCTGAAAATTCACAGTGAAACTGTAAAAACAGCTTGAATCCCTTCTGTGCAGACTGAGCATCTTGTAAGCATTTCAGCTGCTGGCAAGTATTGCAGAGTTCTAGTGGAGTCTCTATGTCTTGTGAAGCCTACCTGCCTCCCTTTATACAGCTTTCACGTCTGATTGTTGTTGAGAAGAATGGGCAACTGGTGCAATTCTGAATATATCGTATTATGTCTTACATTGGTCACTATAGTCAAAGAATAAGTTTGGGGTTGGGTTTTTTGGGGGTTTTGGGGTGGGGTTTTTTGGTGGTTTGGGTTTTTGGGGTTGGTTTGGTTTGGTTTTGTTTTGGGGGGGGGAGGGTTGGTTTGGGTTTTTTGCAAGCCTGGTGGTGCACACCAATCCCAAGACAATGACTTGCTTCATAAGCCAGCATGGCTTCTGTGATAGCTGTTACTGGCTTTCTTTTGCTTAATATTGATTCTTGGATTATGGTTTTAAAAATTGGGCATCTAAACTGTTCTAAATTCCCAAAACTTTAAAATCTGACTTGGTTATCTGACTGACCACAAAGTCTTTAGGGAACAAATTCATGCAGAGAGAGTCTGTACCAACGGTTCTCTTTGTTCTCTTGATTTTTTTTTTTCCCCAAGTGACTGACAGAAAAAAAAAAAGGGAAATAAAAAAGGAGGGGGGAGTGGTAAAACATTTAGGCTGTTTCAATCTTGTGTCGTTAGTTTGGTTGCTGGGACAGGTTTTTGAGAAGCTAAAATGGAAATGTGGTTGAGGGTTTTTCTCTTTTTGATTTTCCTTCCTATGTCTAGCATGGAGTTTCACAAGAGGATTTCATAAGAGGCAAGCAAGAGAAAAATGTGAGAGATGTAATTTATGACATTGCCAGCCAGGCCCATATTCATCTAGAACACGTGAGATTCCTTCCCTTTTATTTATTTAAATAAACATAATTGATGCTAATCTTCACAAAGCATTGTGCATACGTGTTCTTAGAAGACTTACAGCTGCATACTTAATTTCAAATATTTTACCTTTAATTACTTTGAGAGTTTAAATGAGAAAAAAAAAACCACCACACACAACCTTTAAATATTACAACTACTTCTGTATGAATATTATATTTATCTGTATGTACAGGAGGCAGTTTACTCACAGCCAGGTCCAATTGCATATATATAAATACTGCCTAAAAGCCTTATTACTGGGACAGAAACTTCGAGCAGACTTTTATAAATGCAACTATAGCATGGGATCAGCACCATAGAAAGCACTTCTGCATATGGTATTTCACAGCACAGTGGAATGGCTGCCAGGAAAGCAGAGCATGTTGCCTTTAACTGCTGGTTAGCGTGTGTGGGAGGGGGGATTCATTCCCTAACATGACCAGCCATGCTCAAAGCTATGTTGGGAAAGGTGCTTTCTGTTTATTTCTTTCCTGGCTCACAGTCAAGTGAATTAGGAAAGACTTTATTTGCTTGGAACAGTGGATAATGAATCCTGAAGAACTGCAGTCCTACTCTATTTTTCTTTTATGCTCTTATTTTAGCTACACTCTGAATTGCTTGTTGGTACATAATACAAAAGCAAAAGAATGTTTCATCAGCAGTGCTGTGTCTGCCTTTATCTGGAAAACAAAACTTGCAAGAAGCACTGTAAAGAGTTTCTTATGTCTACAAGTACATGTACACATACACTTTGAGTATTGCACCCAATACTTCCAATCAAGGTAGTCTGAAAAGATACCACTTCAAAGCAAAGAAATGCCAGATTTATCTCTGCCTTTACACCATTAATATAATCCACAATTACAGCGTTACCTGTCATCACAGTATTTTATGCAGTAGAGATAGGAGAGCCCTTCTTCATTTTTCTGAAGGTAAAATGAGGCATCCCTGGTTTGTTCAGTCAGTGGTTAGTTGATTAATGTTTTTATTTTTCGTCAATAATATGTAGCCTTGGGCTTTATTTTTAATACAGACTATTTATAATATGCATTTATTGCATTCCTGTTCATGTTGTTTCACCTGGTATCTCAGTTTTTGTTATCACATGTCCAAGGAAACTGTTTATTCTGTTTAGAAGCAGGGAACAGAGACAAAGAAAATGCAAGGTCAAAACTGCCCACTTTGTTCAAGCTGAAATATTTTGATTTTTCTTTTTTTATTCTTCACCCCTCAACCCATAATGCACGGTGTATAAAACCCATTGACTTTGGTTGCAACTGTGGCTTACAAAAATGCCAAGTACCTGGCCTGAAATGCCTCATATCAGGAATGAGATGCATGGAAAATGAGCAATGTGCATTTATTGTCCAGCTGTTTAAAATTTGGTAGCTGATATTGCATGGAAATTTTGGGACAGAAGCAGGGAGAGAATTCAGTTCTTCAGAGCCTTTCAGATAATTTGATAATTCTTAGTGCGTTGGTCCCCTGGCTCCCAACATGCCAACCAGCTTCTGAAGAGAACAGGCAGAACCTTATCCCCCTGCTTTCTTCCCACTCCATTCCTAGAGCCCTGCCCATGTTATGCACTGGGAAGGTCCTATGGAAAATATGCAATATGATCATGTAATTGGAGACTATACAGAAAAGTATAAACACAAATCAGATTAGGGCAGCATTAGCATTTTATTCAGTTGAATGTTGATCTTGGTGCCTTACCCTCCCCCCCCCTTTTTTTTTAAATGGATGGGCTATAGCATCTTAATTAGAATAAAAAAATTCCTCTCTGAATAGTTGCTTCCAGCCTCCATCATCATCAGTGAAGAATAATTGACAGTGCAGGATCTCTAGAGTGTTCAAACCACTTGAACTGGCAATAGCTGGCAGTAATAACGGGTATTAGCCTCCTTGATAATCAGATGGTCTTTGTCAATGCAAGGATAAAGATACTTTCTCCCCTAATAGATGAAATAGGCTTTTGCTGGCAACATTTGCTGGGTATTTCCAGACTTTACATGAACGTAATGGGCTGGTGCCTTTAAATGCATCTGTTCTTCTGTATAAAATCACCATCTTGTGTTGCCTGAGGGTCTTTTCAGCCACTTACCCTCTGTCTTAGTTGCAATTACAGGGTAGGGTAAAGTTTAAACCTGCAGAGAGGTTTAAACAATCTCAGCATTTGTTACAGAAACCACATATTTTGGAGGATGAGGGTAACAGTTACCAGCCCCCTTTCACAGTCAGAAGAAACATAATCCTTAAATGCTAAATTAAGTCTCAGCAATATTATATGAAGCATATTGTAGTAATGTGGGACTTAATCTTGGGAGAAAAGTTTCTGAAGTGTGGTCAGCTCTTCTTGATACTGCGACTGATGACCAGCAGAGGGCAAAATAAGATAATGAAGATTGCAGTTTTCTTTAGGAATTGTGTGTTTTATTAGAATAAAAGCATATAATAAAAGTACTCTGTCAGTCCCACAGTGATCCCTTCAAAAGTCTATGAATACATTTACATGTTCCCCCTTTTTCTCTTAAGCACCCTCTCCCCCATTCCTCTTTTAAAAAGAGGGTCTCCTTTTTGCATTTATCTCAATTATGCTAGCTCATTATGGACTCAATTTACCACGGAAGATAACATGCTTTCTGAATGACATGCAATCCATTCTGGGTTAAGAAGGTCAAGCAAAATTACTTTCTTTTTTCATCTCACAATTAATAATAGTAAGGCAGAGCATTAGATCAGGGAAGAGCCTTTTCCTTTTATGTATGTGTATATATATACATAACACACACGTGTTATTACATTTCAAAGTTTTAAAATAATTTGCCTTCTGAAAAGATTCAGTTTTTTCCCCTCCTAAGGTTTCAGCCTGATTTTCTCTGTTGTGTGGTCAGATCCATGGAAAACTAACAGAAACTCATACATTCTCATTAGTATTCATAGAGGGTGGGTTGGTTGGTTGGTTGGTTTGTTTGTTTTAACCTGTAAGAAAAGGCAAAACAAGGAGGGATTCTGTATTTATAAATAAGCTTTACAGGAAGATTTTGCTTCAGCTCTGTTAGATGTACCTGAGTTGTATGTGGGTTTAAATTGTGGATTTGATTCAGCCATGGTTTAGACTCTGTTTATACAAAGATACTGAGGTCCTGGGGCATTGAGATCCTTTTGAAGTCCCATAAATGTAAATGGAGCATAACTGGACTTCTGGGACTGATGGCAACACTGGAGCAAAAAGATGCACTCAGAGAAATGCATTTCTGGTCTTCCATCATTTCTGTCTCTTGGGATGCAAAGAGTTATTTGGTAGGGGAAAAAAGTGTTAAACCGTATTTATTAAATCACATGCAACTTGGAACTTTGTTGGAACAAGGGATGCTAATTTACATTAGTTTATTATATGTAAACTGTAAGGTTGTCAAAACATGTAAGAATTTTAGCAGGCCTCTCCCAGTATTACATACTTTCTGTGTAATTACTTTTGTATACAGTGAAGGATGGTGCTGGCTTGCATATAATGGAAAATTACAGTTTCAGGATGTCAAAATAAAAGGGACGAAGCTTGTAATACAGTCTGTAATACAGGCTTTAATCATTATGTACAGTATTTGATGTTTAATCTGAAATGTTAAATTCTCCTGATAAGTACGTTGTTTTTTGTTTGTTTGTTTGTTTGTTTTTTTCCCACCTTACCCCATTTACTTTCAGGCTAGATCTTTCAGTAAGAAAGTTCCTGTGAAGGCATATCCTGCTTTTTTCTGTACGGTGGGTGTGATATCATGCACTCTTTAAGTGATGGTCTCATTTCTGTGCTAATATGTTTGTGAAGAGTAGAGTATCAAATTAAGCATGGTTAACTAATGCTTCATGTGTCTATTTTGGGAGGATATAATAGCTAAAACTTCTGAGTATCATAATGTGTGTCTGACTGCAGAACCTCATAGTTTTGATCAACACTTCTAATCCTTCTTCTTTAACTACATCATTTCACCCAACATGTCTGTATATTCATAGACCATTGCCCTGATGCAAGGGCCCAAAATCTTGTCTATTTTTATAATTTGCTGTTTGGTCTAGTAAAACATAATGCTTCTCTTTACAAAACCTGCCTTTTTTTTATCCTTTGAATGTGATGGTTATGCTACCACTTAATAAAAACAGGCAAATTGTCAAGCCTTTTTGCAGTTCCTCATTCGGTTTCATGTATTGCTTTTTAAACTTAATGCCCAATTATTTGTGTGCACCGTATGGACTAAACTTTTTTTTTCTTTTCTAGGTTGCTTTAGATGATTATTTATGTAATATGCGAAAAGTGGACTTCAATATATTTCATCCAAGCTTACAAAAGAAGAGTACGTTATTACCATTGCATTTATATATTAGATCTTGGAAAAAAACATATTAAATTTTTTTTAATATGGGTTCAGAGTGCCGAGTATTTTCTTTAATGTTTTAACTTGATAGGATTGTTAAGTGTCTAACTTCACACTTCTGCAAAGTTCATGGGAAGCAGCAGATGCGCATGAACTGTAGCTGTCAGCTTGCTGGCAGTAGTTAAGTTTGTTCTTGGAATATTAGGCTGATATCTCAGCTTCACATGTCTGCCAAGTCATATGTCCTTGTCTGAGATTACTTTTCTTGTCTTTCCTGTAATAACAGCAATATGATAGAATTCTTCTTGGACAAATTCTTTACTAATGGATATTTCTGACAGTTCTGATGCTTTACTGAAAGGAGGGGGAAAAAAAAAAAAGACTGCTTGCTTTGTGCCCAAGACCAGTTACAGTAAATGCCTTATAAAATCAGTTAAGCAATTCTGTTTAGTGCAAGGAGCAGACTTTTTGCAAGTACTAATGATGCTTCATAGTTGGAAGAATGAGCACGTATATTTGAATGCAAGAAAACTGTCAGGAAAAGCTTTAGCTGTTTTAATTATGTAGTGTTTATGTAGAATTTCAGAATGGTGAAATAGAGCTGTAGTACAGAAATTACTTAACTGCGTGTTGAGATTGAGCCTTGAAGTGACTATCGGTAGTGGGAGGGTAGCTTTACAACATATGAAGAGAACCCTTATAGAGTTTTTATCTCCAACTCAGCCAAAGGCTTTTTCAGTCTGCTCTTAGCTTGGCAGTATCTCCCACCTGGCCTCTCATCTCTCTGTCGTTGCCCACAGCTGTCATTGCAACATAGGTTCGACTGCCCCTTTGTTCATATTCACCATGTCTCAGGACACCCTCTTATGAGGCTTCCCTGAATTCCTCTTCTTTGGTACTGTGAAGAAACACATTCCTCAATGTTCCAAGTCATTTTAGTCCTCCCTCTCTGTAAAGATACTGCTCTATTTTTTTGGTGGGAAATTACTGCGAGCTTTGTACTCAGCATCTCTTCGGATCAAGGTAAATATTTCTGTTTGATTTGTTGTTTCATAAAATAATACTTCCTAACATCCAACTTGATTCAGTCGCACAAATCTGGTAGTTTATTCTGCCGTCATCCTTGTTCTATTAAATAGCTGCTTTTCCCAGAGATTATTTTTTTTTTTAAATCGGGGTTAATCTCCCCAGATGCTTGGTTGTGTAACAGCATCCTGTATTTTAGTGTACAATGCTACATAATGAATTTCTGAGAAGAAGATTTGTGGCTTTTTTAATCACAGAAACTGCCAGCATGGTAGAAGTCGTAGGAACCCAACATTAAATCCTTCATTCGGTGATTTTAGTTTACGTGTTTGAAGTTGGTTTGTGATACACATCTCAGTTAATTCTGCAGTTTCCTACTCCTGAGTAAGACATTTCTCTTTGAATTTGTTCAGTTCAGGATCTTGGCTTCTGTATTACTAGAGGTGTAATAATCAAGGTTGATAGGAACCTAGAAAAATCCATGTATTCTGGATTGGCAGTATATTATTTTCTAAAAGTATTTTCTAAAAGTAAAATCTTAACAGGCTCTGTCCACTTCTCGAGTCAGCTGCTGTATCTTATCATTGGTGTTCTTGAATGTGGCAAAGAGGTCTGGTGAAAAGAAAGTATTTCCTTCCTATGCAGGCACCGCAGCTCTTCCTGCCAAATGAAGAGCAAAGGCTTAGGCTCTGTTGCTGCTACCAGGCCAGCTGTGCATTCACTCTGTTTATTTTATGTTCTGGAGAAAGCATTACAAATGTCTCTTTCTGCAGTTGGTACTCATTTTGTTCTGAGCGTGCTGAGTCAGGACAATAGAGGCAGCCCTGTCCTCTGAAAAGGAATTGCTCTCCTGTAAAGTTAACTTTTGGCAGGAGCGCAGTACAGTTTGGGGGCAAAGAAGGAAAACCATGCAGTATCACCAGTACACCGAGTTGCTACAGTGATACCTTGCATCCAGTCCACAAGGCCAGCGCTTTGCTTCGGTGTTGAACAAATCTTGACAATGTGCTTACAAAGGCATCAATGGGAAGGGCTGATTTGTTCTAGTGTAGAAAAGAAGCCATGTGATGCAGTGAATGGTTAGCATGGTGAGAGGGACTTATCAGTGAATTAGTAAACAGGATACGGAATAAATAAATTCAAGTTATGACTTAAGTCACAAGAGAGTTTTGGGTGACCTCAGAAAGTAAAGCAGCACTTTGAATTGCAAATTGCAAATGACAGGAGCCATCTATGTCTCCTTTGTATCCTTCAGGGAACGGCTCTCTCTCTTGGATGGTCATGCCTGATTCTGCCCTTAGGGACAATGTTGTGAATGAAGGTCACACCTGTCAAACAAGGTAGTCTTAATTTGCCTGCTTTCACTAGTATTATCTCCATTTATTTCTCGATAGCGATTGGTGCCATATAAGAAATTCCGTTCATCAGTTCTGATAATTTATAATTCCACATTCTACCAAAATTCCTACTATTTCTGCTTTTTTTTTTATCTGACAAATATTTTCTCATATTGGTGCTAACCTACTGGTCGTTTTTATCAGAAAAGCAACTAGCAGAGCTAGCAAATCTGTTGCTACCTGCTAATTACACTTTGGAAAATAATTTCCATGCATAGTTACATCATGTCTAGTTAGCCTGGTCCACTTAAAGCAGTAGTCTAGTGGGTATCCTCCTCAGTGACCTTACATGTTTTGTGTATTTTATCTTTATGGTCTTGCTTTCTTTTGGTTAAGCATAGAATTATATCTTCATCTTTCTCTTCAGAGCAGTTCACTGGAGTCTGTTCCACAGTCTCTTTCCACTTAGGCTTGCAGGTTTAAGATAGCAAAACATCAGAATTGTGTTACTCCAGTAACAGATCATATTTTGTCCATGGTAGGTAACAGCTATGGGGTCAAAAGTGCTGACCAAATTGAAACACATCAGACATCACTTGTCTAGTGATCTTGTTTTAACTGTTTTCCCATTTAGCCATCTAATAGTCTTAGTAAAAGCAAACCAAAGAAAAGATTAATTTTCAAGAAAAAATGCAAAAGCCTCAATCATCGCTTTTGAGAAACACATCCTCCAGATTGTCCCCATTTCCCTCACAACTTAGCATCTGAATATCTGCATCTTATTTTGGTCCTCTCTAGTGTCACAGCATTCAACACTACCAGAAAATGCTTTCCAGCCATAAACATAGGAACTGCTGTACTGCAAAAGGGGAATGCCACGTACTCTTCTTCTTTTACATTTGTCTTGGTGTTTTTCAAAGGAAGATACAAAAGGAACCATTTAGATGATTATAAGTAGTCTGCCAAAATATAAAGGTTTTTTTTTTTTCTTGCTGCTCTGATTCCAGGTTAAGACCTGAACTACAAATGTTTAGTTATAAAGGGATTTAGAAGGGGGATACAGTATTATGCTAAATGTTCTCAGAACCTGTTTTCCATTGCGTTTGCTGATGGCAGTTGTGCGTTCTCAAAACTACACTTGTCCTTCTGTCTCAAAACATCATTTTTTTCAGCTTTTATGAATCTTGCTCTAAGTCTACAGACTTTTTTTTTTTTTTTAAAATCTGGCTGACCCTCAACCACTTTGAATCCATTGAAGTTGATCCAGTAAAAAATTATCATAAATAACATCCACAGACACATAAAACAGGACAAAATATACAAGCAATCCTTTATGCTTCAGGCTATACATTGATTGGTATTTGCCTTCATAAACAGGCAACCATTTGTGGATAATCATTCACTGATTTATGTTCTCAGCTGAAGCAAATGGTGTTTAGCATCCTGCTCCAATAGGGGCAAGTTATATATGCAATGGGTTAATCTATGTATATTTTAGATTCCCTGTTCTAGGATGGGCCTCTCTGTATCTGCGTGGTCAGAAAGGCAGGATAGATGTGCATGTCTGTTTCGTGGATAAAAAAGCCGTGAGTCTTTAAAGGAGGATGCTGGTTTTCTTTCTTCATGCTAGAGGGGGCACTTCTGAAACCTTTAATTGTGCAGTAGTAAGTGGTGGAGGGTTTTTTGGGAGTTCGGCTGTGGAAAGCAACTTGTATGTAGTAGCTACTCCTGTAAAACCTGCTGTAAGTTCTAGGAGCAGCTGCCCATGCACTGCTGTCTGGAGCTGAGGATTATTTTGCCCTGCATCTTACGCTGACTGTACTCCCGTCTTACTCAGGCTGTTCAAACTTTGTATTTTATGAATCTGAAGACTCCAAAGGAATAATAAAAAAAAAAATTAAAACTCTACCAGTCACTATCATCTACAAGGTTGGAATTCGCCCAAGAAAAGAAATCTTTTTTTTTTCCCTGTTGTACATAATGCACAAAATCCACAGCTTATTTCAAGTTGCAGGTAGGCAGTGTGTGACAAGACAGGGTATTTTCGTTAGTTCAGCTCTAATTGATTTGTCCTTTCATTAAATTAGCTCAGTTGTAGTTCATCAGCCTGAACATTTTTTTCTTTAAGCCCACTTAACCTTCATATTCACCGACAACTCGCTCTAATAGGTTGAAAGATCTCCTTTTCCTAAATAGCCACAACTGCATGTCTTCTGTTTGCTTTTCCCTGTGGACAGTATCTTAGCAGGAACAAATCAGGTCAATTGGGCATACAGATCTGTTATGCAAACATCTTGATGATTTCATTCAGATATTCAGTACAGCATCATAAAAATAGGGCCAAAAGGGACCCTGGGAAGTGTAATTAAAGTACCAGTCCATCTATTAGCAGAATCAACTATAGCCGAAGCATCCAGTTACCCATTTTATGGATGAAATGTTATGCATAAATGGATTATGATATGCATGAAATAACAGGATTTCTTTTTTTATTGTTAGACATTTGGAATTTATAATTTATTACAGTTTAGGAAGATGGCAGAAAGGACTCACAATAATTTTTACTTTCCATTTTTCAGGATTTACAGCTACTCTTCAGCATTATTTTAAAGCAACATAAAGGATGTTTTAAATCACATTGGGTTGTCAGTGGAGCAAGGATGGCAATACATCCATAGGTGACT